AATTTTCTAATATAAATTTTCTAATATGCATGGTGTAGACCATTTCAATTGGATCTTTTTTATATTACTTAATATTAAAAAATATAAAAATTATTATTAATTTGATTATCAATGCCATGTAAATCATTTTAATAATAAGTTTCAATTTTTATTTTTTTCAATACTTTCTTCATTCCCAAATAATTGTGCGCATGAATTGAAATACAAAATTATATCTAACTTAAAATTAATTAACAATAAATAAAATAGCTTTAATAGTATTAATTTCAAGGCATCTCATGTTACAAGTTTCAAATTAAGTACAATTTTTTATTTTTTATATTTTTGGATAAATAGATTGAGCTCAGTTGGATAGCAAAAAATAGGGCTAGGTAAACAGTTGGATAACTAAATCAGTAACTAAAAATCGATAAAAAAAAATTAACCAAATGATTCATTATAAATAGTTATTGGTCATTTTTTTAGTTGGATAACTAAAAACATTTGGTCACTAAATATTTAGAAGATTAAAAAAACAAAATTGAATATATAGCTAAAAAATAAAATTTTATATTAATAAATAAATAATAATTATCTTATTCATTTTATTATTTTATTTTCAAGTTTTACTTTACAAATTTTATTATAATTTAGTATTTAAATTTAAAATATATCTAAATGTAAAAAAATAAACTTCAAAACTCATATTTTACTCTTATATATCCTTTTTTTTTTGTATTTTCTTATATTTATATCCCTTAAAAATTTTGAATTATAGAAAAGTATAGTCATTATTAAACTTAAAATAGGCATTCAATACTAATTTAGCTAAAACCAATAACCAAAATATTAAAAATGATTATTTTGATTATCAAACCAAAATTTCATAAATATTTTCAATTTGATTTTGGTTAGTAAAGATAGAGAAAGTAAAAAATAAATAATTTTAATATTAATTTTAATTGAATTGAAACCCAACCGTGCCTAACCCCAAAAGGCATAGATTCCACCTCAATTGAGCTAATATTTTCTACCCTTGGAATTGATAACATCCTTTGAGGCTTGTGCAGGCCGCGAGTTCTATGTAATTAATCCGAAGGGTGTCCCACTACTAAGTGCCCACTTTTGTCCTTAACCTAGAAGGTAGAGAGTCAATTAATTATAAATTTCTATAAAAAAAAAGGGTGCATTTTTTATCTTAAATATTGGGTTTAAATCCCTTCCTCCATACTTGTACTGGTTCAAAGAATAAAAAAAAAGTCCCCACTTAAAACAATCCAGAGAATCCACCATTCTTCTGAGCATCCTT